CTCAGCAATGGACTGACTATTTCTTAACTGTGTTTGCCGGTATTCTCCAAGACTTATGTGCCAGTCAAAAAGGCGTCCTCTTAGCCTTACAATAACTTTAGAAATTGTACTGGCTAATGTATTTGCAGGGTTAAGCATTTCTGAATGCATCCATCCTTGAATCTCTCTGAATCTATCATTCCATCGTGAAGGTGGAATGTCATCAATAGTAAATCCTTTAGATGAATCTCCATAGGTCGGCGTAGGTTGAGGTTCTTGTTGGTTAGGAGGTCTAAATTTTTCTTCCATGGCAGGGTCTGGGTCTGGTTCATGAGGTTGTTCAGGGGGGTTCATCATTAATAAAGATTTTGAATCCAGGGAAGAAGAGGAGGATTTATCTTCAAAAGTTTCAAAAGTATCAGACATTTCTTCTAAGGATTGTGTTTCAGTTTGAAGATTTACTTCAGGTTGTTTTGTCAGGTTTTTAAGGAATGAACTCATATTATTCAAAGGTTTGGGAGAAATCAACTGGGTTGGAACTGAAGAGGCTATGACATTAGGTTCAGTATCAGATGACTGAAACATTTGGGCTTCATTTTTGGGTGCCTGAAGAATAGTATGTGGTTGAACTGGTTGGACTGTTACTGGTGTAGAGGCAACTGAGGGTTTAGGTATATTATTTTGTGATGAACTGGGTATTGATACATTTGGTTGTTTTCTTAGTTGAGGAAAGAACATCTCTTCAGGAAAACGTCTTTCATCTTCAAAAGAACTTAAAGCTCTAAAACCAAATTGCCTAAGTGGAATCAAACCTGTAGGTGGGTAAAGTGTTCTTGTAGGTGGGAAAGGGTCAGGACTTCTTATGGGTGGGTAATTTTGGGTGTATGCGTTTGCAAGCAAAGGTTGAAATTGGGAATGGTATTGTGTCTGAGGATCTTGAGATTTCATCCAAAGGTCTTTTCAAGGCTTTATAACTATTTTTCTAAAAAAGCTTTTTCCTTTCCTTTCTGATTTAGTAAATAGGATTGATCATGAATATCCTTTACTGTGTATAAGATCTGCATCAACTCTTCATGTAACAATTGAATCTTTTCCTTTAATTGAACAATTATGCCAACTAATCCTTGTAATTGAGATGACATAACATTATGTTTTTTTTCTATTCGAAGTAATGCTAAATTCTGTGATTTAGCATTTTCAGCTTGCCAATTGAGGCTTGTTTCAGCTGGAGATATGGACTTTTGTGCTCCAAAAACATCTCTTGTACTTGGATTTTTTATCTTCCATACATGTTTTTCATTTTCTTGAATTTTTTCATAATCATTTAATAGAGGAAAATTTGAGGCATAATTTGAACTTTGAGGATCAAAGGCTAAGCATTCTAGAATGTGATTTTTTCTTTCAGAATTTTCATTGTGATCATCCCATCCTGTAGGGACGATTTTCGAAACAATGTGTTTGGGTTTTTGACTACCATAAGTCACAAAATAATCCCATTTTCTTGAACTCTCTCCAAGTAATCCAACAGATGGATCACCTTCAATATATCTCTGATAAAGCTTTTGCTGAGAAGAAATTTTCTTTCTTTTTTTCTTTTTTGGTATTTCATCAAAATCATCTCTAAGACAAGTGGAACAATTGCAAGTATCAAACCAATTATGACCATTAGAAGTTTTCTGTTCATAAATTGGTTTCCCTATTTTGTCAAAAGCAACTATTGGGACCTTTTCAAGCAGTCCTTGAAATTGGGTAGGGAAAACTTCTCCGGTTTGATTTTCAATAGCTCTTGGAGTCTGAAAACTTATCTGTACTGTTCCATCAGACATTCTTGTCATCCTGGAATCTGATTGCATCACTGGCGGACTTTGATTGTGAAATTTTTCGTAGTTTGTCACCCATGTGGATGCAATCAATTCAAGCAACCTTTCTCGAGATATTTGTCTAGGAATGTAATGACAGACAAGCTGGGAAGTATTGTCAACTTTAATGAACAAGGCAGTATTTTCATGTTCGGGGGATAAAGGGGTAACTATATCAAAAGCATGGTTTTGTAATCTATACACCATTTGGTAATGGAGTGTAGCTACAGTAGCTGTTTCAATTTGCTTGGTTCCTGTAATTTGTAATTGGACTTTGAAAGCAAAACTCAAATGAGGGTCTTTGATTGGGATATTAAAGTTTGGAAAAACGGTAACAACAATGGTGCCAGCGTTTAAGGTTGTTTGCACAGTTCCAATAAAGGCATGCTGGTATTCTAAAAATCTGGAATCTAACAAAGCAATTCGGGAAACTGCTTCCATACCTTTTCTTCCATGAAATGTTAAGGCTAATTTAATAGCTCCAAAATGGATATGAGTATATCCATCTTTAAGCCATTGGGAAAAAAGGTTTCTGGGTAAGGCAATAGTAATGTATTGTTTAGCTTGGGTAACAGGGATTTGGTGTTGGTCAAAGGAAAAGGCTTCAACATATTCCTTGATAGCTTCAGGGTTCTTTTTTCCACAAAGCTTTTTGATTCTTTTGGTCCAATTTAAGTTAGATTTATCATAAACATGATGACGATTAATTAATTGAGAACTATTTTCAGAAAACTTTTCAGGGGTATAGGTTATTTCAAAAAGATGTTCTTGTTTAGAAAACAAGGGACCTAAATCTGTACTAGAAGAGGAAACACTATCTAAAGAGATATCTGAGACACTTTCTTCTGTCATTTTGAAATTATCTACTGTGTTGACTGTAAATTCAGGAGATGGTAGATAAACTAAGTTGAAAACAAAAAACCATCCAAAGCAGTGTTTTAAAATGCAGCCGCATCGCCGCATAATGAGGGATGCATTGGCAACCGCATTGCCTGACACCACATATGCGCTTCGGTGGGATGTGCTCGCATCCCACCGCATATGTGCCCAACTAGCACATAACCTGCATAGGGCGCATATGCGAAACGCCTATGAAATGAAAATACCTCCTCGAAAAGGGGTATTTTGGTCTTTTTAATCCCCGAAAAAGGGGGAAAAGGGTTTGGGGGGTATTAAGCCCCCAAATCACCCAAATCAGCCACATCCATGGCCTTTATGAGACCAAATCAATCAAAAAAAAAGTGGCAGAAATTTTATTTTTCAAAATTCTTGGATTTTCATCTCGGATGATCTTTGGTTGTTGATTTGTTTATTTTGGGTGTTGATTTGAGGAAGTTTTAGTGAAGGTTTGACAACAAATTGAGGGCTTCTAGGGCCGAGAAGAAATCAATATTTTTTTTTTGAGAAATGTTAACTTTAGTATTTAAGGTAAGGTACTTACAAGAGAAGAAATCGATATTTTCTTAAAGTAATCGCTAAGTTTTTATTTCCTAGTTCACTAATATTTTTTTGGGGGGCAATGTCTTCTTCACAATCTTCTGGTAAAAAGGATCTGGTTTGGAAATATGCAATATTAAAAAAGCCAAAAGAACGAAATTGTGTTATTTGCACTTTTTGTGGAAATACTCATATGGGGGTATTTTTTGGCAAAAAGAACAATTAGCTGGTATTTCTGGGAATGTCAAAGCATGCCCACAAGCCACCGAAGATATCAAAAAGAAAATTAGAGAATACATAGATAGCTTGAAAAAACAAGAAGACAAATAAATGAAATGAAAAGAATTAATAGATGAAATTCAATTATTTGATGATGATGAAGATCATGACGATATGTCAGAAATTAGTACGACTACGAGGCAAAGGGGTACTCAAATGTCGAGAGAGAGAGTTATAACTATTGTTCGCAATGTTTGAAAAGAAAACACCTCTCTCTAAGGGGCCAATGGACACATTTTGCACCCCTGACCCAAAATTGTGGTTTGAAGAGGAAAGAAACAAAACAAACCACAATTGAAAATCGATATAAGAAAGAACAGAAGAAGAAGGTATATAGGTACATTGTAAAGTGGTTTTACATGGCTAGCATTCTATTTAATACTATCACCCTCGATAGTTTTGCATGTATTGTCAAGACAATTAGGCAATGTGGGCCAAGACTTGATCCTCCTAAATTATATGAGATTAGGCAAGCCCTTATTAAAGGATGCTTTATCCGATGTTAACAAATTTTGATTTCTCAAAGAGAACAGTGGGAGAAGTATGCTGCAACTGTTATGTGTGATGGATGGTCTAATAGGAAGTCAAGGGAATTTATTAATTTTTTTAGTTAACTGTCCAACATGTACTTTTTCTGTCAAGTTTGTTGATGCATCAGAGAAGTCACATGTGGCATCATGTGACTTCATAGATGAGATTGTAGAATTTGTTGGAGAGAAACATGTGGTACAAATTGTCATTGAAAATGGTGCCAATTATGTTACAGTTGGGCATTTTTTCACTTTGAAGAGGATGTATATGTTGTGGACTCCTTGTGCAGCTCATTGTATTAATCTCATGCTTAGAGAAATGAGTATAATATCAATATTTAGTGGGGTGACTTCAAAAGCTATGTTTGTTGTTAGATTTATTTATTACACACCATAGTCCTTAGCATGGTGAGAAGTTTTACAAAGAAGAGAGATATAATGAAACCGGGTGTCACTAGATTGCCACATCATTTCTCATTCTTCAAAGCATATGCAAGCAAAAATATGCCTTGAGGACCATGTTTGCTTCGAACTATTGGAGTAAAAGTAAGTGGTCAAAGCATTGGGATGGGAGAAAGGCTGAACAAATTATTCTCAATACATCTTTTTGGGATCAGATATATCATACATTGGAGGTGGCTAGCCCTTTAGTGAGAATGTTTCGATTGGTTGATGGTGAAGTGAAGCCCGCCATGGGCTATATACATGAGGCAATGACTAGGGCAAAGGGAGACATAAAATCTCTTTAAAGGATGATGAACAGAAATGTAAGGAAATACTTGGAATTATTGATAGGAGATGGGATAACCAGCTTCACAGGCACCTACATTCAACCGGTTAATTTCTAAATCCATCTCTTCACTACAAGCACCCAGCCATTGAGTCTGATTGTGTAATACATAGCGGGTTCTTAAATATGTTTGAAAGGTCGGTCCCTGATAAAGATATCCAAGATGAGATCCAGAGCCAAGAATTGATCAAGTTCAAGTTAGCACTGGGAAACTTTGGGAAACAGATTGCTACTCGAAACAGGGACACTATAAATCCAAGTAAAGGACAAACGTGCCCTTTTAATTTCCATTTTGTTTTCTTTACAGTTTTTTACTTGTATAATGTATAGTTCTATTTATATAAATAATTAAATATCTATCTAAATTATGAAATGTTATACAGCTGCATGGTGGGCATTATATAGAAGTGAGACACCAAATCTACAACGACTCACTATTCAAGTGTTGAGTCTCACATGTAGCTCATTTGGTTGCAAACGCAATTGGAGTGCATTTGAATATGTAAGTCCTTAATCCATATTTCTAGGATTTCAATTTGCAATTTTCTAATAACTAACTTATCTAAGAAGTGTAAAAGTAGGAACAAGAAAATAACATATGTTGCTTTTGCTTGTTTCCTTGTTTACCATAGCTCAATACCAAAAAAGAAATAGGTTGGAGCAGAAGAAGTTGAATGATTTGGTTTATGCGCAGTATAATGAGCCGCTTAGGGAGAGGTATCACAAACGCATGGATCTCAACCTAATTCAATTGTATAAATTTGATAGCGATTGTACAAGTGAGTGGGCCATGGATCCACGAGTAGAGCTAGTGCTTGAGGGTGAGGATCTTACTTGGCTTGATGTCGATCTAGCCACAGGGGCTAATGAAGAAGAACAGCCTAACACTAGAGCACAAAGGGGTACAACTAGGTCCAGTCGCACATCAACTCCATCGGTCGAGGGGGAGGCGGACTTAGAGGAGGCCGAGGAAGAAGAAAAATATGTGGAGGTCGTCGATGATGATAGTGATGATGATGATGCACATGGAGATGCATAAATAATTTGTCTAATTAAGATTTGAAATTTAGAGTCTCATGACTTTCAAAATGATGATCATTTGACTTGACTTTTGAACTCTTTAATCTTCATAGATTTTTAGTGTGTATTTTGTAATTTTAAAGTTTGTAATTGCAAATTTGTGATTAGGGTTTAGATATTGTTGTCATTTCCTTTCTTGAACCATGATATCTTGTAGGGCTTTGGATCAGTGTTTTAAAATGCAGAAAGGGAAAATGGATGAGAGGTGATGGGGTTGTGTTGGTATGGAGAGAGAGAAAGAGACAAGGGTAGAGGATCGAAAGCGGTGGGGCAGGGACTTAGGGAGAGTGGTTCAAGCGGGCGTAGGTTTTGAGATGGTCCGCGGTGATGGGGTTGGGTCCGTACGGGCCAAGAGAGAGGGTTATGGAGTGTTTCAGTGGAGTGGTGGGTTTTGAGATGTTGAATGAAGCACGTAAAACGTATTCGGTCCATGACCTCAAGTTTTATGCAGTGTTGCATGCCTTGTGCTAGTGGAGGCACTACCTGATCCATATGGAATTTATTGATCTATACTCGGATCATGAAGAACTCCAGTACTTGAATTCCCAAAAGAAGTTGAATGCACAGCACGCTAAGTGGACACCTAACCTTCCTATTAAAGCACAAGGCTGGAACCCAAAATAAGGCAACTGATGCTTAAAGTAGAAGAGTAGCATTGTTTGGAACTTTGTCTATGGAAGTGTTGGGATTTGAAGTGATAAAAGACCAATATAAAGATGACCTAATTTTCAGCAAGGTCCTTGAAAGATGCGTTGATGGGTGAGACTCCATGAGTGAGTATCTCATGCATGATAGCTATTTATTTAAAGGTGTACGGTTATGCATACCTAATTGCTCCCTAAGGGAAGTGTATAATTATGGAGCGTCATGGTAGACGCTAAGATGGGTACTTTGGAAGGGACAAAACCACGACTATGGTTGAAGAAAAGTATTTTTGGGCATGCATAGGAAGCGATGTTGATCAAATTTGTGGCCTGATGACGAACATGTCAATTATCTACGGTCACTCACAAAATACATGTCTTTATATTCCCCTCCCTTTTCCAGATGCCCCATGGGTTGATATCTCTATGGACGTTGTACTTGGACTTCCACATACCATACGAGGTATGGACTCTATTTTTGTTGTTGTTGATCAATCTATCAAAATGATACATTTTATTCCTTGTAGAAAAACTATAGATTCTACACATTGTCAATCTCTTTTTCAAAGATATTGTGAGGCTACATGGCATTCCCAAGTATATTACATCTTATCGAGATACAAAGTTCTTAAGTCATTTTTGGCATACTTTGTGGACGCGCCTGAGAACCAAACTTCAATTTTATAGCACTTGTCATCCTCAAATAGATTGGCAAACTGAAGTAATGAATAGGAGCCTCAGTAACATTTTGAGGAGTATTGTTGGTGATAATATATCTTAGTGGGACCTCACTTTGCCATAGGTTGAGTTTGCTTACAACAGTTCAATGAATCGGTCTATAGGAAAATCACCATTTAAGATTGTTAATGGGCGGACTCCTAATCATGTGCTTGACCTAATGCCATTACCCATGTCAGCCAAGATAAGTGATGATGCATTGCTGAGCAATTGAGGAAAGCAATACAAAGTATCGAAAAGCCTCAAATGAACATAGAAGAGAAGATGGTCAAGGAGGGTGACTTAATAATAGTATATTAGCGAAAGGAGACGTTTCCATTAGGGACATATAATAAGCTCAAGTCCAAGGAGGTGGGCCATTGCCTAATTTCAAAGAAATATGAAAATAATGCATATGAGGTGGAATTACTAAAGGCATTGGATATCTCCCCGATATTTCATATAGTTTATTTATTTTAATTCATGGAGACCCTCTAAAAGTCCAAGAAGAAGTAATTGTTGATATGATAAAGCAATTGCTGAGAAAGAAAGAAGAGGAAACTGAGCACGTTTTGAAGACGGGAAACTTTTAAATTCGAAAGGGTTCCTATCGCCAACATCTGGTCAAATGGACGGGTAGGCCATATTCTGATAGTATGTAGATTTCTGAGAAAGAGTTCAAAAGGGTGGATGCAGATTTATACTACCTCTATGTTGAAATTAACTCGTCGGAGTCGAGTTCCTTTCAACCAAGGGAAATGATGCAACCATGCCTCAGCCAATAGTCTGTGGCTGAGCAAAGAAGGGTTGTAGAACCAAGGGAAAAGAAAGGGGCAATCATATAATAAGGGGAAGTTTTTGAGTTTTATTTATTTATTTCATTAGAGACAAGTTTAGTCATTTATATTTAAATTAAAAATGGAAGGAATTGCGGCAAGGTAAAAAATATACATAAAAAAAAGAGTAAAGAGGAAACCTCACCTTTTCGAGGTTGGTCTAAAAATCCAAAATTCAGTGGCCAAAGCTCGAGGAGGCAAAGGAAACCGAAACAAGGTTCTTTGCTGCAGCCTACGGTTGCGACACCAAGCGTCAGACTAGGATTCCTCGCCTTGCTAAGAAATCAGAGAGAAATTGCTAAGAGAGGGTTGAAACCCTGGATCTTTGAAGGGGCCAAAAAGAATGGAAAAGAACCATGGAACCCAAAGGCTCGAACCTTGAGGAGGGAACAAACTTCTGGCGAAATTCCCGAAAGCAACAGGGAATCTCAAATACCCAGAACACTCGCTGGAAGTTGTAGAGAGTTGAACGAACTTGGTCTTAAGGAAGAAGAGGAAGGTAGAAGGAGAAGATGAGAAGATAAGAGATGGAAACTGAAGGTCGGGTGACTGATAGGACACCCTCACCTCGAGCCTCATAATCATGATGTGCGGCATAAAGACTGAAATTGCACAATCCAACAAAGTTGTGGTAGGAATATTGAGAAGAAGTATCCATGGTAAGCTTGTCGAAAATACCGTGGAGGTATAACCTACCGAATTCAGAACTAAAACCCTCATACTACCAAGGATTGTTGGTCAAGTAATGAAATGTCACATAAGGTAGTTGTGGAGATGTTACATACGAATGGTATAGTATATCCTCTCATCAAATGTACCAGATGGGTTTATTGAGATTGATAATGTTTAGATGTGTGTCATTTATATTAGTGCTATCCTCTACTAGATCAAGTTCTTCTATTTTATGTGGCTGCAACCTATGACACCTTCAAATTGGTACAGAATTAAAGATTCTTCAGTTTGCAACAAGTGACAGTCATAGCAGCACCAACAGCTACAAAAATCGAAGTATCAAACAATACCAGTTCTCACAAGCTCCAAAACGGCATAAGAAGTGATGACTGCTGTAAAATCAGCAGCAAATCGAGCATATCACAGTTGTATATTGTAGCCAACACAAACACTCAAGTGAAACTCTATCAAACAAAGTCTAAAGAGGTCTTTATTAACAGGAAATGCAGCAACAATCAAACACAACTCTCAAGGACATAAACTTAACAAAATATGAGCAAACAGTCATCCCAACACAAGTTCTATCATGCGCATCAAGCTTGACATTCTCTGATGATCATAAGAAGACCATGAGCTCACTGTTGTAACAACAACTATCACAGAATGCTGCAAAGCAACAGTGCCTAAAAAACTTTAGTAATGCGCGGCACAAGAACGCAGTTTGTGCTCTACACGCACTGACCAACTCACAAATGAACAAATAAGACCATGAACAAACTGTTATGGGAGCAACAACAGTTGCAGAATGCAGCTGAAACAAAGTGCTTAAAAAAACTTGTGGAATGTACAGCCCAAAAGCACAACTTATGCCCTACTCACACCAACTACATGAACACCAAACTTTGAACTTTGAACTTACGAATTCATTGTCATTTGAAAGAAAAAGACACCAAAAGACAATCAACCAGCGAAAGAAAGATTAAATACAGCTATCTCACTAACCACAACCACTCAAAATGAGAAAGCCAGCAATTATTACAGTAAAAAGCATGAAACCACCCAATTGAGCTTTTCTAACCTTTTTCATGAAAACCAAACAATGCAAGGATTGAATTCATTCATAAGAGAAGAAACCAGAAACCATGAATGCATAAACGAATAAACAAGAAATCAGAAACCATTCTAAAGAAAGAGAGTTCACAAACATTAACCCCAAACCATACTAACATCAGCTTAGAATTTTCACTGTCTCAATTTTCATCAACTCCAAATCAATTGTCTTGGTACTTCAAGAAAATTCTAATTTTTTAAGTTAAATTAATCCATAGAAACCCAATATGTGAATTTATAATAAAAAAAGTCCCAATAAAAAAAAAATTAAAGATTCACAACAGGAAGAACCTGCACTTCATAACAGTGGCGAACCAGTGGCTATGGTTTTTCTACACTCCTAAGTTTAACCCCATCAACAGTGAGGAACCAGTGGCCATCGTTTTTCCACAATCCTAAGTTTAACATACACTCCCCCAATAAACAAAAGTAAAAAAAATTCAAGCAAAATGATGCAGCAAGATGGTTGCGACCTTGGAAAAAGTAGAGCAATAATGCTTGCAACCTCAGTAGACGAGTACAAGTAAAAGAATAGAAATGCAATTAATAAAAACAGGGTAGTAACATGAGATTCCACAAATCGGAAAGAGAGGAACCAATAACAAAGAACTAGAAACCAAGTGATTACAAGGGCAGAAGATAAAACTCGATTACCTGAAGCTGCCTTATCATGTGAACATCCTCTCTATCTGCTCTCCAAACAAACTCCCCTGCTTCAATTTGTCTTTCAATTTCATCAAGACCATGAAGTATGCTATCCTTATCACTGGCACTCATCAAACTCTGTAAAAACAAAGGAATGTAAATAAAAATTTAAATAAAAAACTTAAATTAAATATTCATTGATAAATTGGAGGGATCAATTCCTAATCCTACTCATCAATACATACTTGCACACCACCAAAGCTCTCTAATTCATAATTTTCTTTGTTATCAAGGTGGACAACGATGTATACAATTCATATTTGTGTAACATAATCCCCCCTTTAACAAAATTATGCCTTACAAAATACAAATGAATTAATAAAGTAATAATCAGATATATGCACTCCATTATAACTTCTGCACTATGGATTTAAATAACCATCCAGACTTCACAAATGACGCTGAAGCCCGCGAATTGGGGTAAAAGGGTCAGCGCCATGCCTAAATATATTGATACCCAAAAAATGAGTAAACCCTCCAACAGATCTACAGAATGCCCAAACAAACACTGAAAAACAGATATTTTTTTCACCATTTCTACTCACGCATTTGATTCTAGGAAAACCCTCCAAAAACATCATCAAAACCCTAACCCTGACATTTTATTCATTGCGTCTACTCGAAATACAGTAAATGGGCGAAAAAATCCAGTTCTTTGTCATACCTGGTGATGCAAAACTGAATAAAAGAAACGTTGAAAAGCAAGTTACGTTGAAAAGCAAGTTTCGCCCCTGCAAAAAATGGCCCAACAATGGAGCCCAAATTGCTGCTGTGAAGATGGCGCTTTTTTTTTATGGCTTCTGAGCTTCTGATGGTTAAGATGGCAGGGAGAATGGAGCACAAGAGCTTCACGACTGATGCAAAATGGCGGCCAACGTTCAGGAAGAGAGAGACTAAGAGGTGTAGAAGAAGTGCGCAACGGGTGGCGTCAATACTTACGGCCACCAGTGGTTTAAAAAAATGGATCGGTGTTCCTGATTGGGACCCAAAAACCCATCCAGATCGGTAAATCGGTTTTGGATTGAAAATTGGTCAAATCGATCAAATTTGGTTTTAAAAAAATTTCAAAAAAAAATTAAAAATTATTATAGATATTGATTTTTAGGAATCCAATAGAAAACGATAGTACTACATTAAAAAATTTTGCTTTTGTATCAACATGCGAATATTGAGATGTTCTTTCCCTGTATGAAGATTATCATCAAACATTTATTCAATATTAACTAATATAATATTATATATTGAAATTAAAATTATTCGTTTGTATTTTTTTATTTTATCATCATTTTACTATACAAATAAAAATAAATTTGAAATTTACCTTATAATATCATCTAATTTAAAAATCTAATTTACAGCTATAACAAAAAATAATACATTGCATAATTTATAATATAAATAAACTAGTAAATAAAATATAATATTTGATTATCATTGTAATTAGTATAATTATTAATTATAATATTATAATGAACAAAATCTATATAAGGATGCAACCTTATAATGCATAACTACGGATGCACCTCAAAATTCCATTGAAGAATGTAGTTTTAATGTTGAAAAACCCTTTGATTGATCATCTTGACATCGAGATGTATGACCATGAAAAATAAAAAGATTTCAAGTCTCAGAAATAGTGCATTTTACAACATATTATCTATACCATCCATTTTCAAGATTTTCATATGTTTATAGATCTACTGGATTTTAATCATTTTTTAAATTTAAAATTTTATAATTAGATATAAAAATAGATTTTGAAATAATCCTAAGAACATTTTACATTAAAATTATATACCATAGTAAAATTTGAAGGTGCACCAAACCTCTACAGCCACGGATGCATCTGCATGCCAACTGCAACCTATTATAATCAACGTGATTCAAAAAACAAGGGTATGACCCTTACAGATAAATAAATCTAATGTATAATAATTAGCGTTGATAGAAATATAGAATTTAGTAGCATAAATTTGCAATCATATCTTAATAAAATAAATAAATAAAGAAATCCATCTTTGCAATGTGGGATAATTGATAAAGCAACTTGAACTAAAATCTAAAGTAGCATGAGCTAAAGTTATTTTTTCTCTTAAAATATCATATAAACTAGTATTTTTTTTAATATTCAATAAATCAGTATTATTATTATTATTATTATTTAATATCCTATAAGCTAGTACTAATTTTTTAATCCCAATTAGCTAATATTTTAATTTTAGTCATTGTTTTTATTTTTAGAGCAAATAAATTTAAATTTTTTTGGTGAAGGATATGGGTGGTGGGCCCTATCAACTAATTATTATTTTTAATAATTGTCTTCCTCTTTGAATTAATATTTAAAGGCCACCATGTTATAAAACATATATATATAATTATATCATTTATTTCTTAGTAAAGAGCTGGTCCCAGCCTTTTAAACCTCGCCTTCAATATGGTAGTGATAAACTAATGCCATGAGTGAGAGAAAAAAAACCCAAGCTCTCAGGCCTTTATGCCATTTATTATATCTGAGAGAGAGAAAAGCGAACCCTGCCGGCCTCCATTAGTTGTCCCACATAGAACAAAGATAGAGGGCTGTTTTTATAGAAATTACAAAAATATTCTTTTGATTTAAAAAATTACAAAAATACCCTCTGGATTTTGAAAAAAAAGTGTGATGATTGGATCTCACTTTATGGTTGGATTCGAAACAGTCATTCGATACGGATCACCCGATTTGGATTGGATCGGTGATTTTTTCAACATTACCTCGTATAGTAAAAAACATGTTTACATGTAATCCAATTTTTTTTTTTTGGATTTCTTTTAGGGAAAAGTTTACCTAGAGGAGAGGCTCTAAACCATCAAATTTGAGCCTATCTCAAAAATTTAACTAGAAGAGTTTGTCTAGATGCTCAAATATCTTTAAATTGATATCTCCACATCAAGATGTATAAACATGAGAAAAAAAATAGATTTCAAGTATTGAAAATATTGTATTTTATAATTCATTTTTGGACTGTCAATTTTCAAGATTTTCATAGATCGGTCGATCTACACTATTTTTAAAGCTTTAAACTTTATAAATAAATATGCAAATATATTTTAAAGCTATCACAAACATTCCCAGTAGTGAAACCGCCTTTCTCGACACTATTTGAAAGTGTGCTCTAATTTGATTGTTTAGAATCTCAGCTCTATATAAACTTTTCCCTTTTTTTATTCTGATTTTAAGTCTTTTTGGGGATAAAAAAAACACATTTTGATCAATACTGTCACGCCAAATAACCTCTCACCTACAAAACCAGTATAAACAAAAACTGGATGTTATGGTTTTTGAATTTGAAAGAAACTTTTCCTATGTTTGAGTTAAGCCGCAGATTTTGGGGAGAAGTTTTATCAGTTTATTTGGGAACACGAGGATGCTTATCCAAGCACGCGTGTTTAGCCTATGGTGCATGAAAAAAATAAGATAGGTGAAAAAAGCATGAAGAAAAGATATCTACATGAAAATTGATAACCAGGAGCTTTACTCATGGATTTTGTTAGGACTAAAATCCCTTACAATTTATTCAAAAAAAAAAGAGAAAAAAAGAAAGAAGGAAATATCTTAAAGTCTAATAGCTCCTGTTTTGGCTGATATCGCATTAATCGTAGATGCAAATGACTTTTGAAATTCTTGCCACTTTCCTTTGAACCTGTGGCAATGTCCTTTTTGCATAGTTGGCCTCTCCTTCGTAATAATCGGCCAAGCATTAGTAATGATCCACCTCTCTATAAAGCTTTTTCACTAATTCTTAAAGATGAGAAAATTCATCAGGATCAGGGTTCCCTTTGCTTTCAATATCTAAGATAGCATCATGAGCTACCTATAGACACCCCATTCCCGATCGAGGAAGCTTTAGAAGATGGAATATCCCAGGCAAGCTACCCTAGAACTTGAACCATTCACACCCGTTCTTGATCTAACCATAAACCATCCCTTACGAACCTAAATCTCTCGGTAGAGATCGTATTATTGAAGAATGCCGGTGAAGAATGAACAAGGTAGATCATAACTAAGAACTACCAAGTTGGAAGCAGTCCAGAAGCATGAAGTTCTGACACCAATGCCAACACAAGAAACCTACCTGACACTCCAGACAAACACGACGACATGCAAGAAAAGGAAAAAACGAATGCTATTGTCAATGGTGTCAGCACCATTGACATTAGCGTTATGCTTCTGACAGACAAAGATAGATACAACTTGGATATACTGACCTGTGTCACATGTCAATATGGGCCGACATGTGTCGGCAAGGACTAACATGTCAAGTGTCAATACGGAAGGTCGTGCCACTATCAGATTCGTCAAACGAAATGTCACTTGAGCCATTAATCATACAATGGCGTCCAAATGGTCGACTGGCATCAACGACACTGGGAATGGCATTAATGACAGTCGAATTGGTGCATAAATCTTATTGGCCAGTTGGTTGTACAAAACAATACCCAAAAACCGATACTTGGCAATTTATGTCAGAAAGTGGTTCCAAATGTCTCCAACGACACTGCCAACGTTGTTGGGCCTCTAACACCGTCCTACAAAATTGTACTCGGGCCAGAATCATGTAATTTTGGAGCATTTAATTGAGTTGACAATAATTAATGCTAGTTGGACGCCATTGCCAGCAGCGCCGAAGTCATTGCAAGTGACGGCCCAGATTGCATAAAAAACATTCAAAGATGATCATGGAATTATTTTGGTTATAAATAAGGCACTCCTCCTCAAGCAAAAGGTCATAAATTTTCATAAATTGTGCATAAGCTCTGTCAGATTAGACTCTGTACCTATCTAACCCCAAGAAACAAACCCGTACCTCATATCTTAAATCTTAGAAATCTTACCCAACTCAATCCAAGCTGAAGGCGATTCGGATAATCAGACTTTTCGGATCCTCTTCCACCCATAGCTTTATTTGATAAAAACCTGAAGGACCATAACTAGCCATGCAATTGTCAAACTTTGAACCGACACCGACTTCGGGCACTAGGCCTAGGGGTCCGATCTAAGGTATCATTTTTCTTCTTGTTTTTTGTTTCATTAGTGGCAT